TCCTATCTTTAATTAGACACTTTAACAAATCCCAAGCAAATCAGCTATGCATGTCGCATTTTGCTTCATTACTTAAATTCATTTTTGAAGGAGTTACGAAGTTGATTGCCTTGAAGCGACTGTTGCAGCAGTAGATCAGGTTCAATTCTGATATTGAATAGGACAGTTAAATATTTTAATATCTATTTTTTGCTCTGTTTCTTATCTACAGAGAACGTCTATTTCAGCAACTTATTCATGAGATCCGCCTCACGCAACAGGTAATGTACTTGAGTCCAAGTGTTGAAGAGGCACGCCAAAACTTGCTGCAACAGCTGTTTGCGTGGGAGGCTATAGTCTGCACGCAGAGTCGGATTTCTTCCACCAGATATCAGGTAAGAAGTCACCACGGACTGCATGTTCTCAGCAGATTCCACTTTATTGTAAAACATTTAAACTTTCTTGTGCAGGTTGGTGCCGAGCGGTCGAACACCATCACTAACTACCGTAACGTGTTGGGCATTCTGCCAGAAGGACAGAAATGTTTAGATAAAGCGTATGCCTGTGCTGACGATGTGATCAGCGAAGTGAAATCATACGTTGATGTACGATGCTTTGATTTGCGTTTGACATAGTTGCTGAAATCTTTGCGTCATTTAGGATTGGCTGCGATATCAGGCGCTGTGGGATCTTCAACCGGAAACTCTGTTCGAACGTTTGGACAACAACCTGCCGAAATGGATGACGACCTTGCAGGAAATCAAGTATTAGTTGAACAATTTCTTTACATATATTTAACGATTTCTAGGGTACAATTAGTGTTAATTTATTTCAATGAATTTGTTACATTCTAATCTAAATCCTAATAGCTGGTGTAGTCAGAAAAACGGCGATTTATGTGCGAAAAAAATTTATCTGCCAATTATGGAAACTATCGACTTGATTTCAAAACATCAAAGAATCCTGTGCAATACTGAAATTTTATTTCTACAGATTATCAGCAGTGACATGCTTCAGTGAACAATAAGTGATCTATTCTTTTACTGTTGAATTTTTAGCGCCTTTAGGCTCTGGCCATAGTTCGGCAAGCCAAAATCCCATCGCTATCTCACATGGCATATAGAAAATTTTCTAAGATTGTATTGTTCGTAAAATCAGTGAGTGATGCAAGGAACGTCGTCTCTATTTTTAAGGTAGAGGGCATGGTGCACCAGTCTGACTTTGTCAGCACTGATCTGCTGTGACCTTTTTAGTATGAGTGATGTTTTTCTCTTTCGCTGTAGCGTCATTTGATTTTTACTTCAACAAAAAGCCATTTGTTATTTGTTTAGTGGATAAACGCTATGATGAAAAGATATTGCCGCGCTTTTTCAAATTAGGCATTTGTAGTCCCCTATCTTTTTATTCCGAATTTACTGGTACGTACGTATCGACAAAGATTTCCTTTAAAACAAGATTTATCACTTGTGCTTGTTGTTCTCTCCTTTTTCTTCTTTTCTCAGGATTCATTAGGAGCTTTCGCTGCTATGATAGCCACTTGGAATGTAAATTCATTGCTGTGATCTCATATGCGATTGTCGATTATTTCTCTCGCCATCCCAATTCTACGATGTAGGCATCGAAACTGACATTCTTCTAACAGAGAAAACTAAAAGAAAAGTTGAGTTTTAAGGTTGCAAAGACGTTGAAGTTTAAAGGTCTCATTTTAATTATCGGACAAGAAAGTTAAAAGTACATATAAGATGTTTTATATGCGCCTCTTACCGAAAATAACGTAATTCGCATATCGGTTTGAGTTTCTCTGTCGCATTTCTTAGGTATTGGTCTTCAGATTTCCATTGCTTACGTTATTTTCAATATTTCTTGATATTTTTGATGACTTCGTTTCTTGTTGCCCAGTGTTGTTTGAAAGTTCATTCGATCTATCCAAAGAGTTGTTTTCTTTCCAAATGATAAACTGTAAATCGAAAACTTCATTTTGTTTTCTTTTGTAATTAATACAGTCGGTAGCTCTGAGTAATTTCTTCTTGATTTGTGATCAGAGTGCCTTTCGTTTGTAAGGTACTGCCTTAAAGGTTTAACGAATGTTGTTACTTCTTATTTCTGTATTTTCGTATCATGGCGCAACACCAGTATTTTATTAATTGTATTTCTCTATGTCTTACAAGGCCATGTTCTGTCGTTGGTCTCATTCCGGTATGCGGATCTCAAACGAAGTTTAGTCAGACCTTCAGAAGAAGGAATGAAAATATAAACCTGATATTTGTTTGGAAAACCTGAAATGGAATATTGCTTCTTCATGAAACTGAAAGGGTCAACTATCTCATGGAAGATAACTCGAAATTTAAATTTTCAGAAAGACGCGCAGCACATTCGATACCGCTGAAACGCGGAAGCAGTTCGGCCCTATTATCATCGATTACGCAAGAGTTCAGTCGAAAGTATCCTTAAAGTACGATTCTTGGCACAAAGATGTGCTGAAGAGATTCGGATCTTTGCTTGGATCGGAAATACAGCAACTGTACTCAACGGTCAGCAAATCTAGAGGAGATTTAGAACAACAAAGTGTCGATGCAGGAAGCACCTCAGAAGCTGTTGGTTTCATTACCTATGTTCAGAATCTGAAGCGCAAAACGGCCGAATGGGAGCCCCAAGTTGATGTATGCTATTCCAAAACACCTTTAAATATTATGGAAATATTAATATTTCAGCTGTTCAAAGAAGGACAGAAAATTTTGGAACGTCAACGATTTCAATTTCCCAGCAGTTGGCTATACTCAGATAATCTCGACGGCGAATGGAGTGCATTCTGTGACATTCTTGGGCGTAAAGACTCTGCAATTCAGACGCAGGTACGACTAGTCTGGTATTTTTACAGACAAATTGATTAAACGTGTTGTTATAGGTTACGTCGCTGCAAAACAAAATTAAGAAGGAGGATGAAGTAGTCAAGAGCCGTACAACTGAACTGTTGTCAGAATGGGACCGTCAGAAACCGAATGAGGTGAGACTTTACCACCTATTTTATTCTCAGACGAATTTTTTTCTGAATATATCGGATGCAGCAAAGAAAACCAACAAAATTTAATCGGTACACTGTTCTGGAAGCAATGGTCTTCCTAAATATTTCAATTCCGCTATTTTAATGCAAATTTAATACCGTTGGATCACTTCTCTGTTAACAGTAGCTGAGAATTCTTCTGTGTCTCTGAATCCAATTCTTCTGAACGTAATTCGGAAATGTACGTATTATTTTTAGATCAGAATTCAGCCATTGGTTTGAACTAACGATAGTCACAGTGAATTGTTAATTTCAGGGTAGTCAGAAGCCGGATTTGGCGCTACAGTCGTTGTCAGTTTACGAACATAAGCTAATGCGACTGAAAGAGGATGCGGACAACATCATCAAGGCTAAGGAGGCGCTGGAGCTGCCAGAAACCGTCCACGTTTCACCTTTACACGAAAGATTGTGCGCGTCAATCGAAGAGTTGAACGACTTGAAGAACGTGTGGAATGCAATGAAGCCACTTCATCAGGCGATAGACGAAATTCGCGAAAAATCGTGGGTCAGCGTACAACCGAAGAAACTCAGACAAAGCATTGACGCACTGCTGAACCAGATGCGGGAGCTGCCCTCGGACTATCGGAACTATGAGTCTTACGACTACGTCAAGATGCTTCTGCAAGGTTATGCTAAGGTGTGCAGTACTACGAAGCTCATTGGCTTCCAGTTGCTTTTTTATCATGCTTACAAATACCTCTAATGTCATTGTTTAGATGAATATTCTCGTTATTGAACTAAAATCTGAGACCCTGAAAGAACGGCACTGGAAACAACTAATGAAACAACTGAAAGTGAATTGGGTTTTGTCTGAACTCACACTTGGACAGGTGCGCAAATAGATAAAAGAGAGAGTTAAAAGTTTCTCTGTTATAACAGT